AAAAATAAATATATAAAAAAATCTGAACATGGAAGTTTGTGAAAGCTTTATTCATAACTGCCAAAGCTTCAGTAGGCAAAGGAATAAATAAACTATAACACATTCACACAATAATATTACTCAGTGCTAAACAGAAATGCACTACGAAGCCACAAATACTGAAGAATCTTAATTAAATATGTATTACTAAGTGAAAGAAATCCATCTGAAATCAGGTTACATATTATGTGATTTTAACTGTATGACATCTGGAAACGTCAAAATTACGGAGACAGTGAAAAGGGTTGGGGGAAATGTTGGGGAAAACAGAACACAAAGAATTTAGGGGGCAGTGAAAACATTTTGTATCATACTATAATTGTAGATATATGTTATTATACATTTATACAGACCTACAGAATGTACAACACCAATAATGAATACTAATGTAAATTACAGGCTTTTGATGATAATGTGCCAATGCAGGTTGATCAACTGTAACAAGTGTTATGGAAGACGGTGATAATAGGGGAAGACATGCACAAGTAGGGGTAGAGGATATATAGGATATCACTATAACTTTCCCTCAATTTTTCTGTGAAGCCAAAACTGTTCTAAAAATAAAATTCTTTTTTTTAAGCTAATTACAACCTATATAAAGAGTAATGAAAAAGAACACTTTGCCCTGAAGTGTATGGAACACAATACAAAGCTACATTCAGAGGCAATTTTATAACCTTAAAATGTCTTCACTAAAAATGAGATTAAAATAAAGGATCTTAGGGGATTGGGTTGTGGCTCAATAGTAGAGTGCTCGCCTAGCTTTTATGAGGCGCTGAGTTCAATTTTCAGCACCACATAAAATAAATAAATAAAATAAAGGTATTGTGTCCAACTACAACTAAAAATTTTAAAATTAAAATGAAGGATCTTAGAAAAAATTAGAAATGAGACAGTAAACAATCAGATGAGCAGGCCAAATTAAAGAATTACAAGAGCATTCCTCAATAACAACTAATTTGAAAAACCTTAAAATGGGTGATTACCAAGCAATACAAATTACCACAATTGAACCCAGAAAAAGTATAAAAGTTGAATACTCCAATTACCATAGAATAGAGACATGACTATAAATCAATCATATAATACTACATCATATAACAAAATAGTTTCACAGACAAATTAGCTATTCAGCTTTAAAAAAGGAGATAACTCTAAAGTTACTTAAATTATTTCATACTATAGAAAAACATAAAATGCTCCCTAATTTATTTTGAGGAATCTAGTGTAACTTTAAATATCAATAGCTGATTAATACAGTAGGGGGAAAAAATCCTACATACCAATCTCACTCTTAAGAGATCAAATATACAAATAAATGGAACATAATAGTGTATCAAAAAATAACATACTTTCATCAAATAGTTATTTGGAAAGATCCTGTTAATATTTTAATAGTCATCCTATCAAAAATTTTTTTATTAATTTGCAATAGATTGATATCTTTACAACATGGGGTTCTCCCATCCTGAAACATAAATTCTCAAGTTACTTAAGCCTTTAATGTCTTTCAATATTTCACATTTTCCCACAAGTCACATATATTTTTCATTTAGCATATTCCTAAGTACTTGATATTGGCATCTTTGGATGAATTCCTTTTTTTCTGTTTTATTACTGGTATAGAAGAAAAATATGTTTTATATGTTAATCTGCTTAGCCACCTTGCTGTGCCATCTAACAGTTTGTCATATCTTTTTCTTTTTGGTATTGGGAATTGAACCTAGGGGTGCTTTACCACTGAGTTACATCCCCAGCCCTTTTTCTTTTTTGAGATAGGATCTCACTAAGTTGCTTAGGGCCTAAATTGCTGAGAACAGCCTTGAACCTGCAATCCTCCTGCCTCAACCTCCCAAGTTGCTGAGATTACAGGTATGCATCACCATGCCCAGCTTCACTTTATTTTTTAGAAAGAAAATCACATTGTTTGAAAATGGCATTTTCATTTCTTATTTCCTTAATGCTTTTTCTTCTTGTTTTATTGCATTGAGTAGGAAATCTAACACCATGTTGAACATTAGCAATGTTGTCTTTTCCCTAACAATATTAGGATTGCTTGCATTCTAAAAGTACAAAGTATACTATAGATTTCTGATAAATGCATTTTATCAAACTATTTATCTATTCCCATTTTGCTAAAAGTATGTGTGTGCATTTATATGGTACTGGGGACTGAACCCAAGGCCTTACACATGCTAAGCAAACATGCTAATGTTGAACTACTTTCCCAGCCCTTTTCAATTTTATTCTGAGACAGAGACCCACTAAGTTGTTCAGGCTGGCCTTGAATTTGCAGTTCTCCTGCCCCTGCCTCCTAATAAGTTTTTTGAAATCAAAGTATATATTGAATTTTTATTTAAAACATTTTTTTTTTTTGCTATCCACTGAGTCAGTAATACAGTATTAAATGTTTAATTTATTAATATGATGACTGTTGAAGGCTTGGTACCAGTTGGTGGCGCTATTAGGAGGTGGTGGAAACTTGGAGGGAAAGCCTCCTTGGAGGGAAAGCCTCCTTGGAGGAAGTAGGTCACTGTGAAGAACATATTTTTGTCCCTGCCTTCTTGGCAGCCATGAGATGAGCAGTTTTGCTCCATCATTCACTCCCAGCAAAATGTTCTGTTTCAGTACAAGTCCGCAGCAATGGGGCCAGCCAAATAACTATAGACTGAAACCATGAGCCAATCTTTCTTTCTGCTTTTCTCATTTTGTCACAGCAAGGGAAAGCTGACTAACACAATGATTTATAGTAACAGATTATCTTTCTTTTTTTGTTGTTTGCTTGTTTGATACTTGGAATTAAACCCAGGGGTGCTGTACAACTGAGCTACATCCCCCAATTTTTTTAGATTCTGAGACATGGTCAAGTTGAGGTTGGTCTTGAATTTGTAATCTTCCTGCATTAATTAGCCTCTCAAGTTGCTGGGATTATGGGTGGGCATCACCACGTCCAGCAGTAATAGGTTTTTTTTGGTACCAAGGATTGAACTCAGGGGCATTTGACCCCTGAGCCACATCCTCAGCCCTATTTTGTATTTTATTTAGACACAGAGTCTCACTGAGTTGCTTAGCATTTCGCTTTTGCTGAGGCTGGCTTTGAACTCATGATTCTCCTCCTGCCTCAGCCTCCTGAGCAGCTGGGATTACAGACATGTGCCCCGATGTCCATCAGTAATACGTTTTCTGATGTTAAATCATTTCCGGGACAAATCTTTTCTTGTTCTAGATATAGGATTGAATTTACTAATAGAGCTTTGTATCTACCTTAGTTTGGCCTAATTTTCTCTCTGCTAGCTATCTTTGTCAAGTTTTGGTATTAGGATATTAACACTGTAAAGTCAAATGAACACCCCCCATGCTAAAATATAAAAACCACAATAGTAAAACAGGCAAGTGAAAATTGCGCAGCTTGACAGCAGCATTCCAGGTAGAGAAGACAACATATGCAGACACCAGGATGAAAAAAAGCACAGGTTATGCCTATAGAACAGGATTTAAATATTCTTAAGCTAGAATAATTAACAAGTAGGTTTTGGCTTAAATTGGTAACAATTTAATCTTCAAAGCACAATTCTTCTGCCAAAACATTTTAATTTACTCTGAATTTTATAGAGACTAGAATCCAAATTCTTGAATTCAAGATCCTTCCTTCTTTAACCTGTTTTGTTTTACAGTGCAGCCTGTACTTCCTTGTCTGTGATGTTTCTTTTGCCTATAATACTGTCTTGGGACATCCAAATCCTACCCACCTTTCAAGGCCCAAATAACTGTGAAAACGTCTCGAGTCCAAATGAATTACGTTTAAATACATTTGATCTACAGCTGTTTATTGTTAGTTCTTGGTTTGCCCACTTCTTAAGACTCAGCTGAATGAGGTTGGTTAGTGTCACCCCTAAAATTCATGTCCTGCCTAGAACTCTTTATTGAAACAGGATCGCTGCAAATATAAGTAGTTATGACCAAGTCATATGGGAGTAAGGGCCTGCTATCCAATAGGACTGATGTCCTTATAAGAAAAGACACAGAACCAGAAGCAAAAGCTGACAATAGAAGGAGAGTGGAGTGGTGCAGTTAAAAGTCAAAGAACATAAATGACTGTTGGCTACCACCAGAAGCTAGGAAGGGACAAAGGAATCTACTCAGAATCTCAAAGGAAGCATGACCATGCTTGTGCCTTGATTCCAGAAAGCCAGAAAACAAGTATGTTAAGTCATTCAGTATGTGGTACTTTCTTATGGCAATCTCAGAAAATTAGTATAAAGACAATTATTTCTTCTACGTTTTTTCCTAGCCCCATGTCCAGTGCGCAGTCCAGGTTGATGCAGGCTCAGTGCCTCCTATGGTAAAAAAATGGCTGGGCTGGGTATGTGGCTCAAGTGGTAGTGCGCTCGCCTGGCATGCGTGTGGCCCGGGTTCGATCCTCAGCACCACATACAAAGATGTTGTGTCCGCCGAAAACTAAAAAATAAATATTTAAAAAAAAAAAATGGCTGTTTGCACCAGTGGTAATGAATTACCAGACGCTTAGAAGCTTCTACTACTCTGAGATGACAGGATGACAGGAAGCCAAGGGGCAATGTAAGTTGGCCATCCTATGGGGCTACAGGATAAACAATAAGAAATTACATACAGAGAAGGTGGAGCAAAGTGGAAAACTAGGGCAGCTGAGGTTAGGGAGTCTCAATTCGAGTGGATTTCCGCGGGGTCACGAGAAAGGTCCTGCGGCTCTCCGAGACCCCACGGAGAGATCCAGGCCACCACTCCACTCCCTATGACTATGGACAGAGAAGTACGAGCCGAGGTTCCGGTCTCCGGAATCGCCCCTACGGTCCCTGACAGAACACTCTGATTCCTTCCGACCCTGCGAACAGAACTCTCGCCGCTCCCGTTGCGTCGTGTTGTTACGTGGGGCGGGACTTCCTGTCCACGCCCCGGAAACCAGAAGAGGATCTTGTCCGCCGGAAAGAGAGGAGTTATTACCGAGACTCTACAGCGGGTCGTTGGCTGCAACTGTAGTGTAGAGTAAGGCTAGCTTCTGGTAACCGGCGAGAGGAGTGACCCTGGCGTCCTATCAGGAAGGTTGGCTGCCTTATCGGGTTTTAGGGGAGTAGAGGTGAGGGGAGTGGGTAGGTTAAGTACCACCAGCCAACTGGGCCTCATGTTTGGTGCGCTGTCCTCGTTTTCACCACATCTTTTGAAAACTGAGGTTGGTTGCACTTGGAACTGTGATAGGAATCAATATGGAAGGGAGAAATACGCACTCACACAGAAAAAAAAAATTAAAAAATAGTTAAAGCCGTTCGCGGTGTCGCATGCTTGTATCCTAGCTACTTTGTAGGCTGAGGCAGGAAGATCGCAAGTTGAGGCCAGCCTCAGCGAGACCCTGTCTCGAAATTTTTAAATGGGCTGGAGGTGTAGTTCAGTGGTAGATTCCTTGCCCAGCCCATGCGAGGCCTGAGTTCACTCCCTGTACCCGAAAATAATAATAATTATAACAATAATACTTTTTTAGAAAAGGAGAAAAATCAGTTTTCACATATGCAACGCGCATATGGGCCTGTAGAAACTCAGGTAGTGACTCCTGCGTGAACAGCAGTACCTGTTGGACTAATTTTAAGCACTCAGATGTAAGTTGAATTTTTTTTTTTTTTAATATTTACTTTTTAGGTGTAGATGGACACAACACAATGCGTTTATTTTTATGTGGTGCTGAGGATCAAACCGGGTTCTGCCCGTGCTAGGTGAGCACTCTACCGCTGAGCCACAATCCCAGCCCAATAGAATATCTAATGAGCCATAAATAACAATTTTTTTTTTCTTTTGGTGCTGGGGATGGAACCTAGGGCCTTGCCCGTACAAGGCAAGCACTCAACCAACTGAGCTATATCCCCAGCCCCCAAGTTGAATTTTTAAGCTTCCTAAATCTGCCTGTAAGTCGGTAAGTCGTTTGATATTAGAGGTGGAACAAAGCCATCTTAATTATTCCTGTTATTTCAGCTTAGAATGAAGCATAAGGAGAGGACACAGATGGAAAGTCACATTTGGTTCATTACAAAGCCTGATCTGAAAGTACAATTTCTCATTTCCAATTAAGAAGCCTTTTTTTCTTCACTGTGCTCTGAATTGCTAATGATTTGTCTTTTGGTCAGAAGTGAAAGGTGTGGAGTGAAGAGAATGGTGATATATGTTCAGATACAGTATGAATCCATCAAAGGAAATAAGTCGTATGTGTCAGGAGAACTGTCAATCATCTGTCTTTGATATTCTATAGATGCTGATAAGGCTGTGAATCTTTTTGTTATTCTATAGATGTTGATGAGGCTGTCATGTCACTTCTGTCATATCCCATTTAGCAGTATATATGTTATAACAGTGTGAAGATGGGACTTTCATTACTTGTTTCAGACTTCTGTCTAGGAAGTACTGGAGATCAACAAGATATGTGTTTGTCATAGAAGACTTAGAGCTGACTACTTGTCTGTCCTTTTGCTGTGACTATTTGCTTAAAAGAACCTGTAGAAGTTTACACAAAATTCTATGTGAATGAGACCATCTATAAAGAACTTGTAAGTTATTCGCAATCTGAGTGAGGTGTTGTAGAGTATACTACACTTAAACCTCTGCTGTCTTTTACAGTAATATGACATTTGGTCTTTGTGCAGTTCAAATGTGTTTTTGCATTATTGCTGTCTTCTTTCTCATATCAGAAATGTAAATGTGGTGCAGGAAAATGGCAAGCCTGTGGAGAAAGTAAGGGAGCGTAAGATGTCCAGAAAACAAATTGTACCTCAGCAAATATTGAAAAACTCTTAGCAAATGGAAAATCGTAACTACTAATGAACTAATTCAACTGGATGTTCATTGTGGGGGAGCCATGGCTACTTTATACAAACAAATTTCAACCTTTTTGGTCTTAAGATGCCTTTAAAAATTATTGAGGACTCCAAAGAGCTTTTGTTTTTGTGGGTTATTTCTATCCATATTTATGGTATTAGAAAGTAAAAGATGAGAAATGTTTGAAAACAAGAATATACAAGCATACACTTTATTAGTCGTCAGTGATAAATGTTCTCACACATCAGATAGCCTTCAGTTAAATTGCTGTTACTCATGGAATGAGAAGGAAAAGGGCAAGTAATGTCTTAGTATTCTTATGAAAACAGTTTTGACCTAACACCTGAAGGGCTTTCAGAGGTCCTCAGAGGGACATATTTTAAGAAAACTGCTTTATGCAAATGTTTCAAAACTTTTTATATTATTTACATAAATGATTGTATTTGATTATGACATGAACAGAAGTATCATATAAAATGCAATAACAAGCAGTCTTGTGTCTCCAGAAACTGTATAATTGAAGGCACAAGGAACACAAATAGGTATACATTTTGTGTTCTTTTTTATCGTGTTGGGTTTTCTTGGAGGGTGAGAGAGGTTGAACCCAGGGCCTTGCACAAGCTAGGCAGGCACTCTACCACTCAGCTTTAACCCCAGCCTTGACTGCTTTTTTTATATGGCTTCAGACAGTGGTTGAGACCAACTCCTGGAGAATCAAGGGCTGAGAAGACCACCAGTTCATTGGCTTTGGCAGTTTTTATTTTTGCTCATTCCCTTGGCCAGTTAACTCTTGCTCACCTTCCTTGCCAATAACCACTAGTGTGTTACAGCCTCCCTCTTCCATGTTCTTTCTCTCTATCCAAAACTAATGATTTTTCAATGGATAAGTTCTGCACGAAAACATTCACTATTAAATATAATTGTTATGTAAAATAGGGTAAATGGTATTTAAAATTTCTGGATGTTAGGCTGGAGATATAGCTCAGTGGGGGAGTACTTGCCTAACATGGGCAAGACCCTACATTTGATCCCCAGCCAAAAAACAAAACTATATATTACATAGAAATCCTGGATAAATAGTTATATATGGTTATTTTGTGGGAAAATGGCTTATGGTCCTTTGAAAAGCTGAGAAAACATATATTTCTGATTTAAAATAATGGAACACAGGATCCCACTAACTGAAAATTTTAGACATCCATCCTCCTCCCCTTTTTTTTATAGTTGTAGATGGACAGAATGCCTTTATTTTATTTTATTTTTATCCATTCCCTTTTTAGAAAGGTTGAGATTTTAATAATGATAAGTGCCCTCATTTGATTAAAATTTTTTTTGTTAGTTGTTGATGGAATTTTATTTTATTCATTTAAATAAATATATGTGGTGCTGAGACTAGAACCCAGTGCCTCACACATGCTAGGCAAGTGCTCTACCACTGAGCCACAACCCCAGCCCTTCATTTGGTTTTTTTTTTAAAGAGAGAGAATTTTAATATTTATTGTTTTAGTTTTCAGCAGACACAACATCTTTTATTTGTTTTTTTTTTGAGAGAAAGAGAGAATTTTTAATATTTATTATTTATTTTTTTTAGTTTTCGGCGAACACAACATCTTTGTTTGTCTGTGGTGCTGAGGATCGAACCCAGACGCACACATGCCAGGCCAAGGCGCTACCGCTTGAGCCACATCCCCAGCCCAACATCTTTTATTTGTATGTGGTGCTGAGGATCGAACCTGGGCCACACGCATGCCAGGCGAGCACGCTACTGCTTGAGCCACATCCCCAGCCCCCCTTCATTTGATTTTTACCCTACAAAAATATATATATAAATTTGGCCAAAGTTGTTTAGAGAAGGACTGTTAGTTAGGTACTGACAATATCTTTTTTTTTTTTTTTTAACCCCAGTACTTAAACCCTAGGTGCTTTACCACTGAACTGCATCTCAGCTCTTATTTTTTTAATTAATATTTTTATTTTTAAAAATTAATACAGATTCTCAGAAAAGTTGCCAAGACTAGCCTGGAACTTGAATCCTCCTGGCTCAGCCTCCCAAGTTGCTGGGAATAGAGGTGTACACTACTGTATCTGGCTGCTACTGAGCTACTTTAATTGTTGCTTTGTATCATTTGTGAAGGAGTCTTTCCCATGAGTTTTAAAGATACTTGACATTTGAGAAGGAATCACCTATGATATTTATAAATACCTAAATTTGTTATTACCTCTACAGGGTATAATTTTCTCTGTAAAATTCTTAGATTCTGCATCTAGCTTAGAGTCACATAATTGTGTTGTGCTATAAATACCAGAGAAACAGTCAAACTTAGTGACCAAGTGGGCAACTTCTATGCACCAACCATCTAGGGATTATGTGCCAAATGTTTAATTCAGAACATTGAAAATACACACAGGTAGGTCTTTGGGCTATCTTAGAATAGTTAAAACTATATTAAATGTGAGTGCTCAAGTTATCTTACAGTAATGGGAAGAATGTTCTAAACTACATGCCATCTTTCCCACTACCTGGATTCTTCTATGCCCCTTCCCAGTCTTCCCAGATTCGAAGTCACCACAATGTGCAATTACCGATGGGACTTTTGTGTCTGATGTCATGGGTGTTTTGAGACAGAAGAAAGGTTGAAAATGACTGTTCCATGTTGTTAACCTCACACTCTCCACCCACGGATTTGAAGGATGCTTTGCTTTCCGTTGAAGAGGCTTTTACTTTGATCTGGAACAGGCTTTGATGTCTCTTGTCTTTTCAGGTATATGAGCTCTCTGAAAGCTGAAAGCAGTTGTTTCCATATTCTTTATCATTCAGAGATCATGGAGGCACAGCCCTTGCCTTTTGAGCTGCTTATAGTCAAGTGGAACAGAGAAGCCAGTTTAGCCATTGCATTTTTTGTTTGTTTTTGTGGTGGTGGTGCTAGGGATTGAATCTGAGGCCTTGCACATGCTTGGCAAGTGCTATACCACTGGGCTACCTTCCCAAACCTTTTTATTTTTTAAATATTTAAATTTTAGTTGTAGGTGGACACAATACCTTAATTTTATTTTTATGTGGTGTTGCTGTTTCGAACAGCACATGAGGATCGTGCCCAGTGCCTCGTGTGCTAGACGAGTGTTCTACCACTGAGCTACAACCCCAGCCCTTCCAATCCTTTTTATTTTATTTTGATACAGGGTCTTGCTAAACTGCTGAGGCTGGCCTTGAACTTGCAATCCTTCTGCCTTACTCTCCTGAGCCACTGGAATTACAGGCATACACCATTGCAATCCAGCTCCCACTTAAGTATTCCAAAGTAGGTGAGTATGTGGTACTCAACTCAGTTTGGGAGAGAGAGGAATTAGGCAGTACTTCCCAGAGGTGATTTTTGAGTTATACAGGCAGTAAGTAGACAAGGATGGGAGTTCCATTTTGAATGCCTAGGAATTTGTGACTGGTTTGTAGATTGTAAATGGTACAAAGGATTGTAATCAAGTATTTTAACAGGTTTTTCAAAGTGTTTTCCTTCTTCTGGATAATGCTTTTGTTTTTTTCCTTCTCTGTTTTACTCCTTTACCCCTTGATTAGAAGGATGTTTGGAATGTGAAAGGAAATAGAAGGGTAGGAATCTGGGTGACAGAATAATAGGTTTACCAAGAAGTAATGCAGATCCATCTCTAAAAACTGTGTTCCTGCTTTACTAAAATGCAGTTCTTTTGGTTGGTTACTTTCCTATTGAATATGTTATATTCCTGTTGCCAATCCAGACTGCTTGAATTTAAGGGCATCTCTTAAAAGATTCCCATTTTGGCTTAGGAATGAGAATGGGGGAAAACAGCAAGACTAGGATCCAAGTTCATGCGCAAAAACATTTTTATTGGCTGTCTGAGTCACTGCATGTTGTTTAAATTAATTACAGGCTATTTATTTTGTACATTTCAAACCAATGAAGATTTAATTCCACCAAGATTTGAGTAAGTAAAAATAGAATAGAAAACCCTGATTCTGGCATAGTCTGAAAAAATGAAGAAAAAGCTGTCCATCTGTGAATTAGGCTTGGTGTTTTCTGTGATTGGCAATAGCAGAAAACAAGAAGCAAATCAGCACCTGTGCAGAAATGACTCCAATAAAATCACCACTACTTCAGGAGCAGTTGCTGTGCCCAGGTCATAGTCATGTTCCTTCTAGTAGACTTCCTACTGACAGAAAAGTTGCCAACTAGCTGGGGTCTTCTTTCCAAATAGCTATTATCTTGCATTTAGATAAATTAACCATTAGTTGCAGTGACATGAGCATATGTAAAGAGCTTAGTGCTCTTAAAACTTGAAGTTGTAAATTATCTTTCATTTAATATCTTGACATATTAAAGAGCGATATTTTAAATGCTGGACTTGGTCATATTCTGGAGACTAAGAAAATAGAGTCCTTGAAGTCAAGCTGATTCTGTTTTTAGCCTCCTAAATGAAAAGGTAGATTGAACAGGTCTTGTTTGCAAAAAAAAAAATTCAAGACCTACTTATCTACCAACAGCAGTTATATGTCATCAAACTATAGCACATAGAAAAAAAAATATTGGATGAGAAGAGTGGAGAAAGGTATAAGGAACACAGAATCTTAACTCTATTAATTCGTAGGAAGGTTACTAGAAATTGGAGAAGTGGTATTGGTAAGTTGAGGAGAGGATGTTTTCTCATAGTGCAGGCTTCAGAGAGTTCAGAAAGTTTTCTGGTACCTGAACCTCCTTGGATGGAGGCAAATGTGGTCTTACTTACAGAATGCCACAACACAGTGAACTGTGCTGGGGCAGTTTCCAGGGTGTGAGTTGTGTTAAGATTTATGATTTTAACAAATTTTGGAGGATGAGAAGTATTAAGAAGGTCCCACTGCCCACTCATATACTCTGTTTTATACTCCTGACCAAGTACATGTTTCAGAAATATTTTACTGGGTATGTACAGGTCATTGTGTATCATTTGAACCAGCAGGAAGTCAATTATTAAACATGTACTTTGATAAATAAAAGACAATTTAATTTTACCAGGAACCAATGTCATTTTATGTCCCAAGTTGCTAAGCAACTTTCCAATTCCATCTAGAAATGTATTTTAAATTCTGAATATTTGGATTACTAAACCCTTGGTGGTTTTCACCAGGATTCTGTAGTTGTTCATATTCTCTTTCCCCTTCATTAAACTAGGAAACCAAAGCTTATGTAACAAGAGTTATAAAGTGACACAGGTAAAGCTAAGAAAAAAAAAGATTTTAATTTTTTTTTTTAATTGCCCAATATTAGGGATTGTGATTACAGTGGTCTAATTTTTAAGAAATCTTTTTTTTTCTTTTTTTTTAAACAGATTTACCAGCAGGTTGCAAGTGTACATGGCCATGAGGTAAACCCTGCCCCTTGTTGAAATTTAGTTTCAGCTGATTGTTCAGTAGTATTTTAAGGAATTGAGTCTTAGGAAAAGCAAAAGTTTTGTTTGACTTTATTCTTGAATGTTTGGTTTTTTCTTCTTCTAGAAGATGAAATGATACTTAAACAAAAGTTCTTTTCTTCTTCCTTTGTGTGTGTGTGTGGGGGGGGGGGGCAGTTACTGGAACCTAGGGCCTTGGATATGATAGGCAAATGCTCTACCACTGAGCCACATACTTAGCCCTTAAATAAGTGATCTTTATGCTGAATAATTGTGATAATTGAAATTGTTCATATTTCTTGTTTAAGCGGTTTTTAAAAGTCAAAGATAATTCTAGACAGTTTTTTTCTTGATCAAATAAAATTTTATTAAAATCCCATAGGTGTCAAGTTTTTATCATTTTATCCATTCATCCATGTTCTTATTACATGTGATGTACTCTATACATAAAACCTATTAGAACTCTGAATTAAAATTTGCCTAATATATCATACTTCCTGTTTGGTTGTTTCTATTTTAGTAGCTGAGAACATCTTTAAAAATACATATGGGTATTTTAGTTGTTTATAACTTGAACCATTTCTGAGCTTATATCTGCTGCACCTTTCTTATTTCAGAGTAGGTGGTAGAGCTTGGTAGGGCAGGTATTTATCTACGAAGAACTGTTGCACGGTAAGTGGTTAATTCAGGAATCTTAGCTGTTCTTTATACCAGTAGGCAAAGTTCAGTAGGAGGTGAGAGGTGTTTGGTGTGTCCAGTTTTGAGTGTGCTGGCAAGTGTGAACATTTCAAAGTGAAAGGTTTTTTTCATTTACAGATCCTTAAGTGATGAGAGTTAGGCATATCTTGTGTTGTTTAGAGAGCATCTGGAGTTGTTACTTTGCAGTTTGACTCAAGCTTTGAAATGCTGTGTGTGCAGAGTTTAAGTGGCATCTAGAAACTGGAACTGAAGAACAATGTACTGACAGAGCAGGGCACCAAGGTTACTGAATGGCACCAGGACCATGAGACACCATGCCCTGGAGCCACTGGCTGCACACCACTCTTCCCACCAGTACTCAGCTCTGTCCTGTGGTGGGTGGATTTCTTTTAAAAATTGTATATTTGCTCTGTGCCACATATTGTTAAACACTCTCAGTTTGTTATTAAGTCACCCAGTCCTATGAGACAAGTATTATTTTTCCCTTTGAAGGGAAATAGAAGGTCTGGATAAGGTGACTTTTTTCCAGGTCATAAGGCGAAGTAGTAACAAAGTAGCAATCAAACCCAGGTTCCTGTTTTAAAATCTGGCTCTTTATATTACAAGACAATTCCTAGAATCAGTTGCAACTAATGTTTTCTAATTTTTTTCCCATCTATTCCCTCAGTTCTCCACTTAGGCACATGCACACAGTGAAAGCACCACGTTTGTGGTTAGTGTTTAATAGTAAGTAGTGTCCTGGTTTTCCCTGTCTTGCTACCAAGACATATATATCCTTCTGTTCCTTCTTAATATTTCCCTTCAGATTTTGCTCGTCTCCTGGCTATATGTAGGTCCTTTGCTATAGTTTTGAAAGAGCCCTGCCAGCCCTCATGTGGAGAGCAGTGAGCAGCCAAAGAGCAGTGGTTAGATGAAGAAGATATTCATTTACTCAACAAGTATTTGGTGTGCACCTGTTACATGTTAGCATTTGAGGATCAAATGATGGACAAGAAAGATCCTTTTGCATGCCTACCTTCATGGAATTACTCATTATAGGGGTAATTTCAAAGTTAGTAATGTGAGCACCACGAAGGAGAGTGCAAGGTATTAAAGCATACAGTGGTTGGAATCTCACCACAGTGCTGCTGTTGGGAAACAGGGAGATTCTACTTCCAGAAAGGCACATATCTTCCCTTGCTCTCTTTGGCCAGCTTCTTGTCCTCTCAAATCTGTTCTTTATACTAATGAAATGTGATGAATATGGAGAGGCTGCTGAAACCCATGGACTTTCCTTATCCTCTGCCAAGCTCCATAGGACTTAGAGATTCATTACAGTTTGCACATATACAAATTGACAAATGGTAGTTTGACTACTTGAAAGCCCTATGAGTTCATTTAGTGCAATCCATCATTTCACAGCTGGACCTGACAGTGACTACCCTAGCATCTTGCAAATAACTCTCCTCAGGACTAGAATCCAGGTCAGGTGAGAAGAGTGGCAGCACACCAGTCTGCCATATAATAACATGAGCCAAATTATGCTCAGCACATGGTGCTTGGATGCCAATTTTGGCCAGTGGAGGATGAGTGACTGAGAGGGTTAAATACAGAAGAGAGACAAGAAATGACATCAGAGGGTCTAATAGAAAGTGACATGCATTGGCATTAAAATGCCATTATGTATCTTTAGACACCCTGGCTTTTCCAAAGAAAAACAGGGATGTACAAATTGGTGAAGCTGACAATTGAATGTGTATAGATGTTGAGAAATGTCTACGTTGAAAAATGACAATTTTGAATTTTCATAATCTAATAGAATGCCAATCTTCTTCGGGGAAACTGTTATTCGTATATCTGGAGTTGTCCTGTTGTGCAGAAATTCATACTTATGCCTGAAAGTTAAACATTGACACAACAAAGCTTCAGAAATTCTCTACGTGAAGTATTTATAAAATATCTCATTAACTTAATAGTACTTCTGTACTTTTGCTATTTTCTTTTATTAAATGACTACCAAATAGGCCATCCCCAAAGCTATACTCTTTTCAAACATATCCTAAGACACATTTTCAAACTATTGAGCAACTTGTTAACCTAAGAAACATAAAAAATCATGATTTCATACTGCATCACAGTACAGAAATAGAACACATTTGAAACATTTGGATCTCAAGGCTTAAATGTACAGATCATTTATAATAAAGACATTTGAGTGCAACCCTGTGGTCTTTCAGGTGATAAAATAGGCCTTTGGGTCTAAACTCTTAAGTACACAGATACTTGAAGCATCTAGTTCTTAAAGTAAGCAGGGCATCTGCTGTCACTAGGACTATTTTTTTGGTGTTTGGTAGCACGAGCACCCTTTATCCATATTCTGTATCCTTTGTGCTTTTGGAAAATGGCTGAAACCCAAATCAACCATAGGCATGTCCTAATCCTACAACATGCAGACATCTGAAGAGGTCTGTGCACCAGCATGCCAGTTCAGACTCCTGGGATGTATGCTTAGAACATGATCTAAATGTGTCAGAGCAAGCCAGCCTGTCTCCATCCAACTCACCTTATCTTGTCTCCTTTTTTCACCTGAACAGCTACCAGAAGTTAAATGAGTCCTTTCTCTACCTTTCCTGTCACCACCAATAGAGTACAAGACCATGAATCAAAAAACTATAGCTCACTAGCAGACCTTATCCTCATTCTCCACTCCTGCTCAAGCTGCAGGCTTTGTTTTTGCTCTCTTTTGTCATTGCTTCTCCTGTCTTCTCATGTCCACACCTTTCGCACTACACACAGACTCCTGTTTCTTTTATACTTCTTCCATTTCACTCTGCCCCTTGTCCCCACCTCCCATAGTGGAGATTGAACCCAAGGCTTTGCACATGCTGGGCAAGTGGCTCTGCCACTGAACTACACCCCTAACCTTTTGAAATTTTGTTTTGAGACAGTCTTGCTAAATTGCTCAAGTAGGCCCGGAACTCATGATCCTCCTGTCGCAGCCTTCCCGGTAGTTGAGATTACAGGTGTGTTTGCCACCATACCCAGCTGACCTTGTTCTTACCTTTCTGAAACGAGACTTTGAATTTTATTCTTACTTTAGGCAGAATCCCCATATCTGGCTTAGTACATAGTAATTCTTGCCTCCCGGTTGTGGTTTAGATAGGAGATGTCCCCCAAAAGCTCATGTGTAATACAATGCAAGAAAGTATAGAAGTAAAATTATTTATTTATGAGAGCTTAGACCTAATCAGTGCATTCATCTCCTGCTAGGGATTAACTGGGTGGTCACTGTAAGCAGGTAGGAGGTGGGGGCATTGGGGGCTTAATTTTGCGGTATCTATTTTGTTCCTGGAGAGCACAACTCTCTCTGCTTCCTGATGACCATGTCCTGAGTTGCCTTCCTTCACCACACACTTCCACCTTGATGGTGCCTTGTTTTGGGCCCAGAGCAATGGAGAGTTGGCTGTCTAGGACAGACCTCTGAAACCATAAGTCCCAAATAAACTTTTCCTCTTCTAAAATTGTTCTTGTCAGGTCTTTTGGTCATGGGCAAAAGAGCTGACAAAAACATGCCCCAAACTTGTTCTGAAATTCAGTAGAGTCCAGTATAATCTAAATCTCTTATGGGGGAAAGCTAGCCTTGCCATTTATGCTTGGGCATGACAATAAGGTTTTAAATAACCACGATAGAGAGTAGCAGAGAACACTGGATGAACATTAGGATTCATCAAGCCAAGGCGGGTCCAAGGCTCCATATTATAAGAGGTGCTGGGAAAGCAATGTGGGGTTTTGTTGTGGGGTTTTTTTGTGTGTGTGCGTGTGTATGTGTGTGTGTTCAATTTTTGAAGTAACGAAGGTTGTAACATAGCCCTTTAAGACTAAAGTTTTGTCTATTGGCCTGCATTCTTTCGGAGTTTTCTTCCAGCAACACTGAACTATTCCACATGTAAAGACAGCTCAGCTGCAGAAGCTGTAGTCACTAAGCCTCTTACATTTACTTAAAAAGATGGAATTGGGGCTTCAAATCAGACTGCAGCCACTTAACACTGATGCTGAACATAAATGAAAAAGCAATCACTTAGTTGGTTAAGAATTCAGTTGGTGAAGCCAGACTGCCTGGGTTTGAATTCAAGCTCAATCTATTGGGTAGACTTATCTAACACCTATGAGGTGCAGCCTTATTTTTAAAATGGGGTAATAAAATTGTGAAAAGTAAAGATAATGCATGTAAGAGGATAGAACAGTATTGGCACCTAAATGAGTTCTCTATGAATTTTATTTATGTTATTTTTGGAGAAAAGTTGCTTGCTATCCTCTCATTTGGACTTAAGAAAAGTGGATGACAACAACTCCCAGGTGGGAATATTTTATAAAACATAATGTGGGCCTTAATTATTGTTAGTGAAAACCTCTCACCGAAATTCAACTTTTAATCTCCAGTATTCAGCTTTTACTTTACCTTGATGATGCAAATGTGTGCCTCATGCACCAGGAGTAGCAGTTTGCTCCCAGGTCTTCCTGCTTAGGGACATCTTCAAAAGCCACACCCACTGTGTAGTCCAAACACTCATCCACCTCCACCTCCCAGTAGTGGCGCCCTCGGACTGGAATTAGATTTCCCATGACAGCAACACACCTGGTTTTAGAAAGTGGAAGCATGTCTGATTTGAGGGTGTCCCAAGCCTGACTGTGCAGATGAGTGACACCATCTGCTGGTGTCAGTAAGCAGGTAGTCTGTGAATGTGGATGTAGGTGCTTGACACATCACTTGTAAAGCTGTGAAAGCTCAGTGGCTGATGCTAAAGGTTCTAAGAGAAACATACACTGTTTGATGATGGGAGAGGAGAAGACAACCCACAGAATAGGTTCTGCTTGCTCTTAAAATTGGGGTTTTTCTAGTAATAAAGGTTAGATTCATTTGTTCACTTAAAAAAGGGTTTAAAACTCAAGAGAGGGCTGGGGATGTGGCTCAAGCAGTAGCGCGCTCGCCTGGCATGCGTGCAGCCCGGGTTCAATCCTCAGCACCATATACAAAGATGTTGTGTCTGCTGAAAACTAAAAATAAATATTAAAAATTAAAAAAAAAAAAACTCAAGAGAATGCAGCCAAGGGAATGATACGCTTGAAGTTCATTGGCCAGCACTTGCTTATGGTACCAAACAAACATGAAGGGGGTCTGAGGTAATCCTATGTTATGGATGACTCCAGGGAGAAGATAAGAATTCAGAGGCTGCCCCAAGAATTGCAACATAGCAAGCATCCCTCACAAATCCTCAAACTCTACCTCCAAAGTTCCACTGAGATTTATACTGACAAAGGTCAGAGTTATGATATGTTCTATAAAAAGTCAGATCACATCATTATTTCCAAAGGAAAATCTGAGTTAGATCTGGGCCCAGACAGGCCTCTCTCCCAAGTCCAACAACCTCAGCAACAAATGTCTTACTGAACAATGGCTTACTGGATCCTTGATACACTCCTACAAGGTGGATAAGGTAACCTTCAACTTAATTGTGTTTGGTTCTGGGGATCAAATCCAGGGTCTTGTACATGCTAGGCAAGCTCTCTGCCACTGACCTACATTCCCAAACTTTTTCATGTTAGTTTGAGACAAGGTCCCACTATGTTGCTCTTGCACAGCCTGACAGCCTAACTCACATCTCGGTGCCATGATCTCAGCCCAGGCCTCAACTGCCCATATCATCTCCTCATCTCCATCCCACCAGGCTCCTACCTTGAACTTGGGATCTTCCTGCCTTAGCCTTCCAAGTTGCTGTTATAGGCATGTGCCACCAACACCGGCTTGAGAGGCCATGTTTAATGGAAACTGAATTAACCTTTGAATTTAACCAATCTGTGTTCTTATTCTCCTGTTGCTTTAATGTTTCTATCTCTATTTGCCCTTTTTATGCATCTTTGGGAAGGAGGATGGTATAAATAAGTAACTTCAACATCGAGTACTAAGCTCTGGATGTAGCTAGAGAACTCGATAGCCAACCAGCGTCTTTGGTGAAACCCGTCATTCAGGTCACATACAAGCTCAATGATGAGCTTTAGGGCCGGCCATTCCATCGCCCAATATCCTATAGGAATTTTGGTACCACAGTGTAGGAGGAAGCACACTGGACTAGTTAGTAGGAGACAATAGTGGTGTTTGTGCTCTTGCACAGTCTAACAGCCTAACTCACATCTCTTGGTGTCATGATCTCAGCCCAGGCCTCAACTGCCCATATCATCTCCTCATCTCCCTCCACCAGGCTCCTACCTCTTCACTCATTTCTTTTCCTCTTTCTAGGCTGCATCTGTTTAACATAATCCAGTTCTCCCTGAATAACAGTGTCATTAGGGAATTTCAGTCAATAAAGTACCTGGTAAACTGGGTCTTGCTGGGTAGCAGCTCTCTTGTAAGGATTTTCCTTTCACTTCGCACCACTGTAAACCCATCTTTAGAAATGGTCAACCAGGAATGGCAGGTGTTCTTGTTCAGGTGAAAGTAGCTTCCTGTGGAAGAAGGGAATACCTGAACCCAGATGATTCCCCTCCTGGCGCCTCCTCCACCCCCCCATCCCCTGAAGCCAGTCATTTTACTCCACAGCATGGTAGGATTAGCTTCGTGTGGGATCCGCTTAAGCCTGCTCTTTGCAGTTATAGCCATCCTATGAGTTCAGGATGACATTTACCGTGTATGGGGTAGTTCTTGCGTGCTTAGCACAGCCCTAAGCAGTTTGCAAGACTCACTTCTTTCAGTCCTCATGATTACTCTTAGAAACAGGTGTTACTAGTTCTATTTTGTAGATGAAGATACTGAGGCACAGGTAGTTAGGAAATCAGCTGGCACATGATAGACCACAGATTTGAACCCCATACTTGATTCTAGAGGCTGTGCTCTTAATTTGTAAGCTGTAAACGCCTGCACTTGGATAAGAATTTCCAGCTTTTTTACCAAGAGAAACAGAAATTGAAGGAATGACCCCCCTTTGCCATTCCAGAGAGTGAACCTAGGGGTGCTTTACCACTGAGCTACATCCCCCTAGCCCTTTTTAAATTTTATTTTGAGACAGGGTCCCACTAAGTTGCAGAAATTGGCCTCAAATTTGCAATCTTATTGCCTCAGCCTCTATGTAGTTAGAGGTGTGTGCTACGTGCCAAGCCTTGAGGCAATTTATAATAATCCACTTGACAAAGGTTAGCAAAATCAAAGTTTCACTTTGCAATTAGGGCAGGAGATCATTCATCCCCAAGTCATGATGAAAAGAAAGCTCATCAAAAAGTGGTTCAAAATAGATCTAATTTAAAATTATCAGTATTAAAAACCCCCGTTATTTTAGGAACATAGCAACTCATTTGCCATTACTGTCCCTTAGTCAAGCTTTTCTAAGGTCCCATTTTGTCATTTCTAATTGTCTCAGATGAGTTCAAGCATCACCACCAAACTGTTCACGATTATTTCCCACAATCTGATGCTATTGGGAACTTCATTTACTATCTGAGCTGACTGGTGGGGGAGCCGTGTTTCTACCTCACAACTAACAATGTGTGGCCCTTATTGGCTGATTTCTGGTCCCAAACATACATATGAACATTTATGTATGAATGTGTGTGTATATATATATATATATATATATATATATATATATATATATATAAATGTATACAAATGTATGTATATGTGTTTTTTGCTGATTCATATTCATTTTTTAAAATATTTTTTTGTTGTAGATGGACACTATATCTTTATTTGAATGTGTTTCTGAGGATTGAACCCAGTGCCTCACCCGTGCTAGGCAAGTGCTCTACCACTGAGCCACAACCCCAGCCCTGATTCATATTTATTTTAGTTTTCCATTAATAGTGTGCATGCTATGGGGCTGGGGATGTGGCTCAAGCGGTAGCATGCTTGCCTGGCATGCGTGCGGCCTGGGTTCGATCCTCAGCACCACATACAAAAACAAAGATGTTGTGTCCGCCAAGAACTAAAAAAAAAATAAATATTAAAAAAACTCTCTCTCTCTTTAAAAAAAATAGTGTGCATGCTAAAAAATTATTTAAACAAATCAGAGATTACTGAATAATTGAGCTGGCTGTACTTTTGCTCTCCATTCTCTTATTGAAACAGAATTTGGTATTTCAAAATACCAGATTGGCTCAAGAATTTGAAGCACTAGGCAACTGAAGGAAGGCCCAGCACTAGATGAAAGAAAAACCCAAATCCTAATGCTAGCAGTAATCTTTTCCAGCTCTGTGTCCTTAGGTGGCCCTTGAACTTGTTTTTCCCATCTGTGTGGAAGGAATATAAATGGGGGTTAATTGCAAGACCTCTCCTCCTAGCATTGGTAATGAGGACAAAATAACACAATGTGTCTCAGTGAAATATCCTAGTTAAGGAAATGTCCCTGACCCGGAGCCAGGCTCCCTGCTTCTGCTGCTTACCTGTAAATCACTCACTCAGCTGGCTTGGCTGGTTCTGCTCTAAGGTGTGGGGAGACCCGCCTGGCTTCTGTGTACCTTGGCAAATCTCAGAGAGCAGAGCCAGGATAATAGGAGATGTGTGGGTATTTCTAGTGAGGTCTCTGCTAACTCAAGACTTGGATGTGAGATGTGACGGTTCTCTGATAGAATAATGGCAAATGAGAAGGAATATGAGTATCCCCTAGGGCCAAAGAGAAGGCTGGACAACTGACTTTTAAGTTGGTCTTGAGCTAGGGAGATGGCTTGGACCCAAAGCAGGAACAGGGAGGTAAGCAGAGGCCAGTAACTTTTGGTAATTCCATAAAGACCTGGTCTCAAGGGAGTTATTCAATTTGTATAAGATATATGATGTGCTTGAGCCACCCAGATCCAGTGGGACAAGCCTCTAGTCCAACTTGGGCCTGAAAAAAAAAGCCTTGAGTTCTGGGCTGGGATTGTGGCTCAGTTGCAGAGTACTTGCCTAGCATAAGTGAGGCACTGGGTTCGATCCTCAGCAAAGAAAACAAATAAAATAAAGGCATGCTGTCCATCTACAACTACAAAAAAAAAAAAAAAAAGGGAAAACCCTGAGTTCTAATGCTCACTCGGCCACAAAATAGTGTCTTGGGCCTTCAGTCTTTCATCTGTTAAATGAGAATAGAGGGCTTTGATTGCCCATGAGCTCCTTCCAGGCCTGACTTGCCATGTGTTCATATCTACCTATATTCATCTGTATTTTTTTTAAGTCATAGCAGCACTGAGTGTGCCAAGAAGTGGCCACCTTGGGTCACAGAGTGTGTGGGCCAGGGCACAGACCTGTGGTGTGGACTGTAGCAGGCTCACTCCTGGCGCTGGGACCCCCAACATTGAGGGCTCTCACGTAGATGATATAGCACTGCCTGGGCTGTAGCTGTATCAGGGACTCACAGGTTGGGATGCCCACAACAGACCTGGGCAAAGAAGCAGAGATGCAGTCAGCATGAGGTCAGGGCATCCAGGCCCAAGTGCCACATGTCCCTTTCAAAACAGGGATTTTAAAAACACTCTTGTTTTCACCATCTTTTGACCTGCAGCAGTATAAAGTATTGGCTCCTCCTCAGTTGCCCTTAGAAAACCTGTGGTCCACTTTCTTACTTGTGTCTGTTGCTGTTTCCCTTCCAAACTCCTTACCCAAGTCTCCCAGGCACCCAGCACCAGGCTTGGTAAATGCAGCATCATGGATCATTCATGTAGTAAAATCCAGCATATCTCCATCTGGCTATTAGGATCATGACCTCTCTTGAGGGCAGTGACTGAGTACTATTAACTGCAGTACCATGCTGGGCCCAAAGAAAGTTCTCAGTATGTGTCTATGAACAAATGACTGATCAGAACCAAAGGGTCCACTGAAGTCCACCTTGATACCCACGCTCTTGGAGGAAAGCTGCCCATTGGGAATAATCTAATTCATTACTATTGTATTATTCAATAATATAAGCTCACAATTGCCACTGTCTGTATTCCTGTGGTTTTAACCCCATTTCAGGCCAGTGGGCAAGAGAAATCTTCAGAGTTATGCTCATCTACAGATATAACACTCTCATCCATACAGGGCCAGGATGTTCACACCATCTTGGAGAATGCAGCTTCAGGCCAAAGAGGCACTTTTGCTTATTCTTTCAGTAGATATTAACTAAGCACCTTAGGTTCTAGATACTGTATAGGGAAGCCTGGGGGAAAACCAAATGCAATGCCTGCCTTCCTAGAGCTTGCAGTCTAGATGGGAAGAAAGGTGTTCCTCAAGCAATTACTATGGTAACCTTGACAAGTCCACAGTGTGCTGTAGAGTATCTAGGGGAGGAAGTTGAGTTCCAAAGAATGACTAGGAAATAACTGGAGAAAAGGGGGATAGAAAAGTCTTCTACATGGAAGGCAAAGCATATGGAAAGGTCACATGGCATGGAGGAGCAAGGAAAGTAAGAGGAACTAAAATATGACCTATGTGACTAGAGCTGAAGAGGGAGGAGGAGCCAGTGTGGGATGAGCTGGAGAGGCAAAAGGGTCCAAAGCCTGTGAAGGAGTTTTGCCTTTCCTTCCACAATGGGAGGTCAAAGCTGTATTTGTACTGGGAGAGTAAACACCACCCAGATCACTCAGGCCACTGACAAGCCCTCTGAGTGCCCCATCATTAAAGGTTTGTCCCAGGTGTCTGGTGCTCTGAAGGTATCAGCACAAACTGCAAAGGAAAACTTAAACCACTAGAGTGACCAGAAGCAGTGGACACCTCTACCACCCTGCCTGATTTCTGAGTATCTATAGGAGTAGAAAACCAAGGTTAGCCTTAATGGGGCTATGGACACAGACTTCACCTGGAAGAGCTAGATGGTATAAATGGTCAGGTTCCAAGGCCAGCATTTAGCACAGAAGAATCTGCTTCCCTTACAGCTGACTCCAAACTCCTCCACCATTTCTCCAGGTCCAGCTCCATGCACCCCTATGCTTCACAACAGGCTGTCCTACATGCAGTGGCTGGTGCTGTCCTGCCTAGTGGGTTTGTTCCCTTTCTACAAGGTTCTGGACTCCTGGTAGCAAGACAATGGAACATCTATGTTTCCTCTGCTGTACACAGCTGACTTATCAGATCTGTAGACCCTGATGGTCATGGAGTCCAGGCCTCATCTACTTGCGAATGATTTTGCTCTGAAAAGCTGGGTGAACATGAGCCTCCAGACAACCCTCTACAATAGACAATATTCTTTGTATATTGAACTGCAATACCTGGTCTTTCCTCATTCCCCTCTCACTCTCCTCCCTGAATTCCAGACAGATGGCTTCTTAGTTCCTCTAGCATTTCCAGCTCACTCCTGCCCTGGGGCCTGTGTCAGGTAGCTCCTGTCCAAGGATGGAGAAGCCAGGTGTCAACTACTCTCCAGCTCAGTCCCTCCCATCTGTCCTGCTCTCAGTTTAAATTCTACTCTATCCAAAGGTGGTTTCCATATCCACCTCCATTATCTAATTAATTACATTTCATTTTTCTTCCTAGCATTTGAGTGCTTCAGAGCACTGAGTATTTTACACATGGGTGTTTTCAAGGTATTGTTTGTTTCTTCAGTTTGACTAATATAAGGGCAGGGAGTGGTCTTTCTAGATTCCCAGTGTCTCCCCTCCCCAGGACCTGGTACCACCTAGGCTCTCCATATTTGTTGAAATGAATGAATGGGAAACCATACTGGGAATGGGAGGGGGGAGTAAACATGAGATTTATCCATTTATTTACTTACTTGGTCATCATTCACTTTCAATAATAGTATTTCAGCTACTTCTCATGAAAACCAAGCAATCTAAAATTAAAATTCCTATGTGTCACAAATTCTGAACTTCTCTCCAGACTCTACACACTTTCTAAGTAGCCCAACAAATGCCCTCATAACTCACTCAGTTACTCCCAAGGCTTCTGGTGTTTCTGCTTGGGTCAGCTCCACTGTGTATGAGTCCACAGGATTCAGATTCCCAGACTCCCAGCAAATGAATGCAGCCTCTTCACAGCTCCTTATCTCTTTGCTTTTTATAATGGGAGGAGATGGGGCTAAATGTAGGAGAAAAAAGAGATGAAAAACCATTATGTTCATTTCTAGTCATTTTGTTCAGAGCCGTGGACAAATATCTTAACCACCCTCTTCCTCCCACAGAAAAGATACAATGCAGTAAAAAGTACCAAGAAGGGGTTGGGTATGTAGCTCAGTGGTAGAGCACTTGCCTAGCATGCATGAGACCCTGGGATCCATCCTCAGCAACACACACACACACACACACACACACTCACACACACAGCGCCAGGGAATCCCTGTTGATATTCTTGGAGCAGAGGATATCTCGATGCTCAAATGTCAGTGTGGCCAAAAGTATAACATTTTTTGAGATCAGCCATAAGAAAATGTTTCTGCTGTATCAGGCACATAGATTTGGTGTATTAAATAAAACCACACACACATAAAAATCACACAGCCCTTTCTGTCATTTCAAATGAAATCAAGAGCCCTATTACCTATAGAAACCTGTACCCTGGTGTACCCTGCTATAGAAAATAAGTGGTCCTCATTACCTGTCATGTATACTGCACGCTCGCTGGAAGGACTGGGGCCAGCTCTGTTCTGAGCAATGACCCAAAATTCATACTGGGTATTTGGTTCAAGGTTTGCCACTGAGCAATATGTTTCTTTGATGGTCACTGTAAACTCTGTGGGGGGAAAAAGAATTCAACCTTTAATAGGCCAAGTGGCTCCAAGTTCATTGTGCTGAATTCCACTGTAGTAGATTATAAAACTGGCTGCAAATTACACCCATCCTTATATGGATGGCTCTCTGCAATGTGACTTTGTTGTTCCTCCTTTTAAGAGGTTCTTTCTTGCTATTATTTAAAACTGGACTTACCTATTTGACTTGCTTTCGATGATAAGGCAATGACAAATATGATATAAACAGAGGCTTGGGAAGTGCCAGTGCACAGGGGCTGCTAGGAATGCTTCCACTACATGGGAACAAGTCCAAGCCCATCTCTTGGAGGTTGTGAGACAACATGGAACAGCCCTAGCACCCAAGTCATTGCAGCCATCCCAGCTGAGGCACTAGATTAGTGAGGTCACCCTAGACAATCCAGTCCTACTCAAGGTGGCTCAGACCAGAGTTGTCCAGTCAACCCATAGAGTTATAGGAAATCATAAATGTTTTTTTATTTGAAGCCACTAGGTTGCAGGGTAGGGGGGTGTATTATTATGTAGCAAAAATGAAATGATAACAACTCCATTCCTCCTCAGAAACCTGCAAGGCAGGGATCAAATCCACCATTTGATACCAGTTTTTTTATGACAGCAGGGTCCATTTAAAAGACCTTCAAAAAATTTCCACGACATAGCCCCCACACAATGGCCTCTGCATGTGGGCAGAGGGTGCTAGCATGGTTAGTTTGTAGCAAAAGCTGTGATTATTCAGGTTTGACTTCCTTTTTTTTCTTTTTTTTTTGTTTGGGGGGGGGTGGTACAAGAGATTGAACTCAGGGATACTCGACCACTGAGCCATATCCCTAGCCCTATTTTGTATTTTATTAGAGACAGGGTCTCACTGAGTTGCTTATCACCTTGCTAAATTGCTGAGGCTGGCTTTGAACTTGTGATCCTCCCTCTGCCTCCAGAGCTGGTGGGATTACAGGTGTGCAGGTTTGACTTCTTGATCCCCATCCCCCCTTTTCCTTTCCCTTAAAGTTCTCTTGTTCATATAATCCACCCTCCTCCTCTCTCATCATCACATAAACTTACTCTTTTCTCAAGCATTTCACTTCCTTCCTGGTCCCTGGATAGAAATATCATCCTCACCTTCTGGAATTCAGAGCTCTCCACTTGCATGGCCTGGTATAGTAGGCAGGGAGCCTTCAAACCTGTTCTCACCCTGGTTCTGCCAAACTCCCTGGGTCCACACAAACAGCTCATTTCTCTCTAGGTCTCAGCATCCTCATACACAAAATGGAGATCCTAAATTTTCTTCTAGCAATCTCATTAGAACCCCAGGTGCACAGGACAGGTCCTGTTGGGCCAGACCTGATCCTCTGATTCCTTCAGATACTTAGTGGGGTCTTTTGGGCAGTCTGATTCTTCTTTTTGCTATGGTTTAGATAAGTGTCCCTTGAACGCCCGTGTGTTGAAGGCTTGGTCCCTAGCCCATGGAGCTATTGAGAGGTGGTAGAACCTTTAGTAGGTAGTGCCTAGTGGAAGGAAGTTAGGTCATTGAGGGTGTGCCCTTGAAGGGGATATTGGGACCACAACTCCTTCCTGTCTCTCTGGGCTCCCTAGCTACCATGAGGTGAGGACAAGGTGAGGACTGCTACCATAATAAACTACCACCATAGGATCAAAAGCAATGGAACCAAGTGACCATGGACTGAAACTTCAAAAATCCTGAGCCAAATAAACCTTTCCTCCTTTAAAGTTGATTTACTTCAGGCATTTTTGTTACAGTTATGGAAATTTGACTAATACTGCTAAACAGGAGAATAGTTTATAAATTATTGAGGGATAGACTACTCCAGCCCTAAACCCATACCAGCCATTTCCCTGGGTAAAAGATGGACCAAGAGCTGCCAGCAGGGGAGGTAGGTGGCCATTCCCAGGAGCTGTCTCAATCTGAGGTGTAGATCTGACAGCAGCATTCCTTATAGTTTGTAGAGATTCCCTCACTCTACATGAAATCTGCAAATGGATCCTCCAGTTTCTCCTGTAGCACAGGATTACTATGGGAAGAGCCAGTCTTAACTTTTACCTGCCAGGACATGCTAGAATTCAGCCCAGCTGGTTATCCTTAACAAGGGGCATCACTAGCCTTTCCTGCACCCAAAGCGGACACAGATTGATCCCAAGGACAACTCTGACCCCATGGCTTTATGGTCTTCTTTAGTCAGGCCCCAGCTTGCCTTTCTAGCCCTTTCTGCCATACTCTGGGCATTCCCAGATGCTCCACATTCAGACTCCTCTCTTCTTCACCATCCCAGCTGCCAAGAAGGCAGTGTCTGGTCCTCTGAGGGGCCTGAACCATTCCCATGGATGTGAGCATATTCCTGGTAGAGCCTCACCTGCTTGGTCCTTTCCAAGTGAGCTGTCTTGCACTGGCCGGTAGGATAGCTGATAGCTCTCCACAGTGTCATCAGAGTATAAGCTCCAGCACACCCGGACCGAGGAACCTGTAGCTGAGTTGGGGGCCTGTGGATTTATCACTGGAGCAGAAGGAGCTAGAAAAGGAAAAAATAGAACAACAGCAACAAATGAGGAGGCTTAGGTGGTATGAGATGGCCCCTTTTATAGGATCATTGATTAGCAATCCCCCAATGAATCATGGTCTTTGGGAGCCCAAAGTGGAAAAGAATGGAGACACAATGCCTTCCAGCCATGAGCCTGCAAGAACAACCAGGGTACCCATTTTGGATAAATGCAGATAAGTCTGGGGGGCAGGGGTCAGTGATAGGGTCTCAGGTTGGGGTACAGTTTGCATATCCTCAGGTTGTGGGTCCTCTAGCTCTTCCATGGCATCTGAAAAGACAGGACAGCCAGCCCTGGAGTGAACAGAGAGAAAGACTTTAGCTGAGTTGCTCTGCTTTTCCTGAGGTAGGGGTCCAATGGCCATTTCCCAGATGGCAATCAGAGAAGATTGGGGTGGCTATATTGTACTTTTCAGAATAAATTTCTTCAGAGTCTTCTTCTCTGTATGTTAATCCTTCTTCCACCTCCATCCCAACATACAACACAAATGAGAAGAAAACCAAGTAATGCTTTTTCTCTGCTCTTCTTCCATGCCAGCACCTCCCTTTACCCCAGTCTTTTAAGAATGCCCTTAGTTTCAAAATTGAAAATTGAAATTGAACAATGTGGATAAGGGTACAGTTATCTTTTTTAAAAAAATATATTTTAATTGTTAATAGACCTTTATATATATATAGTTGTGGGTGGACACAATACCTTTATTTTATTTTTATGTGGTGCTGAGGATCGAACCCAGTGCTTCATGCTTGCTAGGCGAGCACTCTACCACTGAGCCACAACCCCAGCCCCTAGACCTTTATTTTATTTATTTATATGTGGTGCTGAGAATCAAACCCAGTGCCTCACCCATGCCAGGCAAGTGCCCTACCGCTGAGGCCCAGCCCAGCCCCGGTACAGTTAATCTTAAAGGAGCTTACCTAGCTCATCCTTTCCTTCCTGTCCAGAAACTCACAGACCACAAAGTGACAAGGGTAAGGAGGGAGACAGAGAATCTACATTCCAAGAGGACAAAGTCCAGGGTCCCAGAAGATGCCCTTCTCTACACTGTCAAGAAAGCCCAATCAAGAGATGCAGTGTAAGAGGAGGGATGATTTGGGAGCTTTCAATCACCCAGGATGCACCAGCTGCAAGCAGGAGGGGAGTCATCTCCTTGGGAGCCGAACACTGAGGAAAGTGTCAATGCCTCTCAAGTGCTAACTCGTACCTTTGTGGCTTTCCTTCCAAATGACTAGGCCTGATTGTTTGGGTAGCACCCATCCTTAGACAAGAGAAAGGACCATCCAATGAACATCATAAATCAGTGAAATCTTCTCTTGACCCAGTAATTCTAAGAATGACCCCAAGATTTGTGGTTAAAGATACTCATCACAGTATGATTTATAATGGCAAAAACTAGAAACATTCTAGTCCCCAACAATTGAGCATTAAGTAAAAATGATTAAGGTACATAGCCATTAAAATGATGTTGAGGAAGAATCTATCAGTGTGCAAAAATACCCATCATAATTAATTTACTAAAAAACCCCAGCAGATTACAGAACAAAATCATTTTATTTTTATAAAAAATCTGCAAATAAAACCCTAAAATGATATATACAACATTGTTCGCAATGTTGTTGGTGGTGAGAAAGGGAGGGTGTGAAGTTAAAAAAAAAAAAAAAAAGCTGAGTTCTAGTATTAGCCTTAGAAATAAATATTACAATAATATTTTTGAGAGCTACTTGGCACCATGTAATGTGTTCTCTGTGCATTACCTCACTTAATTTTCACCATAGTCTTATAAGCATGATGATGTGCATTTTACAGGTGAAGAAACCAAGATGACTCAGAGAAGTTAGGTAAATTGTCCAGAGTTACACAGCTAGGTTGGGATTCTCACCAGCTCCATAGAATTCCAAAGTTTATTTTTTAGCTACTCTGCTAAAAACAGCTGCTCAGGAACAACATAAACACAACATTTAAGGAAACTAAATTCAGACTTCTCACTTTGTCTAAATTAAGCAGAAAGGCAGATGTTTAGAAAGTTAGGCAGACTTTACACAGAAAATATTTCAAGGTTGCCTAGAGCCAGATGTTGGCACCTTGGATAGATTAGCCTCTCTTCTCATACTTACATGCCATAAAGACAGAGTAGTAAGTTGGAGGGGAAAAATACTTATTTCTAAATCTTTGACTTTATAGACATCAAAGTTTCTCACTCAAAGGTCAAGGAGTCTTTAGGGTTTTCTACAATAAGATTATGTTATATCTACAAAACAGACAATTTACTTTCTCCTTTCCAGTGTAGATACTTTTATTTATTTTTCTTGCCCAATTGTTCTGTCTAGGACTTCTAGTACTATATTAAATAGAATGTTGAGACTGGGCATCATTGCCGTGTTCCACCTCAGAGACAAAGGCTTTCTGTTTTTCATTTTTAAATATGAAGTTAGCTGTGGGCTTGTCATAAGTGGCCTTTATTATGTTGTGGCACATTCCTAATTTGTTGACCATTTTATCACAAAAGAGTAAAATGTCAAATATTTTCTTTTCATCTTCTGACATGATCCTGTGATATTTATCCTTCATTCTGTTAATGTGGTCTATCACATTTATTGATTTGCATATGTTGAACCATTCTTGCATCTCAGAGATAAACCCACTTGATCATGGGTTTATCTTTCTTTTATTTTCTCTCCTTCTCTTTCTTTCTTTCTTTTTTTTTTTTTTGCTTCTTTCTTTCTTTCTTCCACTTAACCTCTGAGCCACATCCCCAGTCCTTTTTACATTTTTATTTTGAGACTGGATCTTACTAAGTTGCTTAGAGCCTCACTAAGTTGTTGAGGCTGACTTTGAACTCACTATCCTCACAGGCATGCACCACCAAGCCCAGCATATAATCCTTTAAATGTACTGTTTAATTCAATTTGTTATAATTTTGCTGAAAATCTTTTTTATCTGTGTTCATCAGAGATAGAGATGTGTGATTATTTTCCCCTTCATAGTGCCTTTGGGTTTGGTAAGAGGATAACGCCGGCCTCGTAAATGAATTTCAAAGTGTTTCTCCCTCTTCAATTTTTTGGAAGAGTTTGAGAAGGATTGACATTGATTCTTCTTTAAAATTTGCCACTGAAGCCCTCTGGTCATGAGCTTTTCTTCATTGGGAGGTTTTGATTACTGATCTAATCTCCTTACTTATTAGTATTCTGTTCAGATTTTCCACTTTTTTGGCAGTACTGAGGATTGAACCCAGGGCCTCATGTTTGCTAAGCAGGCACTTCTACCACAGAGCTATAACCCTGTCTCCAGATTTTCTATCTCTTCATGATTTAGTGTTGGCAGTTTTTATGTTTCAAAGAATTTATCCATTTCTTCTAGGTTACTGAATTCTACTGGTGTAGAAATCTTCATAGTATTCTTTTATAACTTGCATTTCTGGCCTCAGTTGTAATGTCTCCTCTTTTATTTCTAATTGTATTTATTGGCATTATCTCTCTTTTTAGTCAACTTTGTGTATCTATTCAACTAAGAAACTCTTTCATTAATTTTTTTCTATTGCTTTTCTACTTTCTATTCCATTAATTTTGGCTCTGGTACTTATTATTTCTTTCTTCTGTTACATTTGGAATAGATTGTTCTTTTTCTAGTTCTTCAAGGATTAAAAGGCCATTTATTTGAGATTCTTCTTTTTTTTAAATACTTTTTTAGTTGTCAATGGACCTTTATTTTATTTATTGATATGTGGTGCTGAGAATCAACCCCAGTGCTTCACACATGCTAGGCAAGCGCTCTGCCACTGTGCCCCAGCCTCAGCCCTCTTCTTCTTTTTTAATGTAGGTACTTACTGCTGGAAATTTCCTTTATACTACTGCTTTTGCATCCCATGAGTTATGATATGCTGTGTTTCATTTTCATTTGTTGCATATTTTTTAAATGTCCTTTTTGGTTTCTTCTTTGACCTATTGGTTGTTTAGATGTGTGTTGTTTAATTTCCACATATTTGTGAGTATACACAGGCAAAAAGACTTAATTTTCACCCTTACATTATACTGTACTCAAAAATAAACTCAAAATGTATTAAAGACTTGACTATAAGACCCCAAGCTGTAAAACTCCTCAATGAAAACATAAGGGGAAAATTTCTTGACATTGGTCTTGAAATGAATTCTTGGCAAAGGGGCTGGGGTTGTGGCTCAGTAGTAGAGTGCTTGCCTAGCATATATGAAACACTGGGTTTGAGTCTCACACCACATAAATAAAATAAAGGTCCATCCATTAGTAACTAATAAAATATTTTTTAAAAAGATCTGTTTTTTTTTTTTTTTTTTTAAAGCACAGGGGCTGGGATTGTAGCTTAGTGGTAGAGCTCTTGCTTGCACATGTGAGGCACTGGGTTCGATCCTCAGCACCATATAAAAATAAATAAATAAATAAATAAAATGAAGGTATGTTTAAAAACCCACAGACAATAAAGAAAAAAAATAGACAAATGTCCGACTACACAGCAAAGGAAACAATCAACACAGTGAAATGACGTTCTACAGAATGGGATAAACTATTTGCACAGTATTTATCTGATAAAAGACTAATAATCTCCTACAACTCAATAGCAAGCAAACAAACAAACAAAAATAAGCCAGATGAGGTGGTGCACACCTGTAATCCCAATGATTTAGGAGGCTGAGGCAGAAGGATTGCAAGTTCGAGGCCAGCCTGGGCAACTTAGTGAGACCCTGTCTCAAAACAAAAAAAATTTTTTTTAAAGGACTGGAGATATAGCTCAGAGATAGAACATTCTTGGGTTTAATCCCTAGTACTGTATTAAACAAACAAACAATCAAACTCCAAATAACTACATTTAAAACGAGCAAAGGAAATGGATAGACATTTCTCCAAAGACATACAAATGGCCACCAAGTATACAAAGAAGGTGTTTAACATCCTTAATCATTAGGGAAAAGCTGATCAAAACCACAGTGACATATCAATCACCTCATTCCTGCTAGGATGGCTATTTTCAAAATACAGAACACAGAATATAACAAGTATTGGCAAGGAGATAGAGTATTATTGTTATTATATTATTATTTATTTTTTGATATTAGAGATTGAACCCAGAGGCACTTTACCACTGAGCCATATCCTCAGCCCTTTTTATTTTTTGTTTTGAGACAAGATCTGGCTAATTTGCTTATGGCTTTGCTAAGTTGCCCAGTCTGCCCTCAAATTTGGGATCCTGCCTCAGCCTCTCAAGTTGCTGAGATTACAGGTATGTGTCACTATGTCCAGCAAATTGGAACCCTTATACACTGTTGGTGGGAATTCAAATCAGTGCAGCCACTGTTAAAAAAAAAAAAAAAACACAGTATATTGGTTCTACAAAAAACTAAAAATAGAACTGCCTATGCCTATAGTCCCAGCTATTTGAGAAGCTAAGGCAGGAGGATCACTTGAATCCAGGAGTTTAAGATCAGCCTTGGCAACAGAGTAAAACCATCTGATAAACAAAACAAACAGACAAAAAAAAAAAACACTTGCAGATGATTCAGCAATCCCACTTTGGGGTATATATTCAAAAAATTGAAATAAGAAATCTCAAAGACATATTTGCATACCCATGTTCACAGTAGCCAAGATATGGGAACAACCTAAATGTCCATTGATAGATGAATGGATAAAAAAGTATAATAATTATACACAATGGAATATTATTTAGCCTTAAAAAAGAAGAAAGTCTTACCATTTGTGACAACACAGATGAACCTACAGGACAGCATGCTAAGTAAAATAAACCAAATACTGCATGATTCCTTTTACATGAAATATCTAAAGTAGTCAAAGTCTTAGAAGCAGAGAATAGAATGGTGGTTTCCAAGGGATGGAGGAGGGAGAAATGGAGAATTGTTACTCCGTGGATATTAAGATTCAATTATTAGGGGGCTGGGGTTGTAGCTCAGTGGCAGAGTGCATGTGTGAGGCACTGGGTTAAAGACTCAGCACCACATAAAATAAAGAAAGAAAGGTATTGTGTCTGTCTACAACTGAAAAAAAATTTTTTAAAGATTCAATTATGTAAGATGATTATGTTGTAAAGATGTGCTGTCCAATATATGATTTACAGTAAACAATATGGTATTGTGCACTCTTACTTATATTAAGAGGATAAATCTGATGTTAAATGTACTTTTTTCCTTATTTTTATTGGTGCATTTTAATAGTGGGATTCATTAATATGTATTCACATAACACACACAGTGTAACAATATAATTTGGTCACTATTTTTCCCCATTACCTTCCCTTCACTCATTTTCTCCCTCCTCCTGGTCCCTTTCCTCTATTCTACTGGTCTCCCTTTAATTTTCATGAGATCCTTGCCTACCCCTACCTTTCTTTTCCTTTTCCCTCTCTACCTTGCATATATGAGAGAAAACATAAGTAACCTCAGCTTTCTGAGTCTGGTTTACTTGGTTCAACATAATGCTTTAAGTTACATCCATTTTCCTACAAATGACATAATTTCATTCTTCTCTATGGTTGGATAAAACTTCATTGGGTGTATATACCATATTTTTTTATTTATTCATCTGTTGCTGGACACCTAGACTAGTTGGCTACTATAAATTGTGTGACTTTAAACATGGGTATTCATGTATCATTATAGTATGCTAGCTTTATTTTTTTAGGATAAATACTGAGGGGTGGTATAGCAAGATCATATAGTCTTCTGAGGTACACCCATACTGATTTCAATATGATACTAACTGTTCTTTTTTTTTTTTTTAAGAGAGAGAGAGAGAATTATATTTATTTTTTAGTTTTCGGCGGACACAACATCTTTGTTTGTATGTGGTGCTGAGGATCGAACCCGGGCCGCACGCATGCCAGGCGAGCGCGCTACTACTTGAGCCACATCCCCAGCCCTGATGCTAACTGTTCTTAACACACACACATTCTCCTGGAAATCTGAGCTTGCTGTGAAGTATGCACACAGGTAAGATACATACCTGGAATGGTGTTAATGGATCCCATCAGCTGCTCCACATCAGAGAAGTCCAAAGTCTGGTCTTCAAAATCAGGCTGTGCAGAGATTTCCACATCTGTTTTGGTTTTTAGGAATTTCCCAAGTCTGTTGGTGTTAAAACACATGCACACAAGAATGGAGGGGGGCTGGGCTGCAGTTCATTGGAAGAGTACTTTCCTAGCATGTGTGAGGCACTGGTTTCAATTCCCAGCACCACATATAAATAAATAAAAAATAAAGGTCCATGTTAAAAACAAAAATCAAAAAACAGCACTCAGGGGACAATCCTTAGGGTGAATCTATGGTGCTGATCCTTAGTAATAAACTAAAGAGACTGCTGAATTTTCATTTATTAACATGCTGCTGGCTGCCTTTAACTATCTGACTTGGTGACTGCCCTAGGAGGTCACCAATGAGGATGGGTGTGTTTTAGTCAGCTTTTTTGCTGCTATGACTTAAAGACCTGACTGGAAGGAAGAGGAGGAGGAAAAGTTTATTTGGGTGCTCACAGTGTCATGTCTCAATCCATAGAAAGCAGGCTCCATTCCTTAGGCTCAAGGTGAGGTTGAACATCATGGCAGAAGAGTGTGGCAGAGGGAAGTGGCTCACATGATCAGAAAGCTGAGAAAGATCTCCACTTGCCAGATACAAATACATATCCCAAAGCCACAGCCCCATTACCCCACCTGCCTTCAGTTACCATTCAATTAATCCCATTGGGTGATTAAAACACTGATTGTGTTAAGGATCTCATAACCCAATTATTTCTTCTCTGAACCTCTTGCATTGTCTCACCCATGAGTTTCTAGGGGACATCTCACATCCAAACCATAACAATGTGGGATTGGTTTATGCCTACAAGGGGAATGAGAAAATATAGGATTTTGTCAGAGGTTTTGGGAGGACATCTTCTGATGAGATGCATCTCCACACCTTCTGGTGGATCTCAGAATCTAAACCGGAAACCCCCACACCCACATTACCTCAGGCCCCGAAAGGTACAGAGGGTTCAGACCCTAGGAGCTTTCTCTCCACTTGGCCAAGTACCCTCAAGTTGCTAATCTTAGGGCTCTGGGTCTTCTCAAACTACTTCCTGGCAGACACAGATTTTTAAGTGGCAAAGCCAGAATTTTAAACCAGGTCTATTTTTGCTCAAACCCTGTGTATAACCCTGACATAATTAAGTTTGTGTGTTCACATTGCTTTATAGACATTGTCTTACTAGGTTTTCACAAAACTACCCGTGTTTGTACATAGGGAAAGTGGGTCTTTAGACTGGTTGGACCTGCCCACAGTCCTGGGATATCAGGGCCTGAATTCCCACCTGTCTGATTCTAAGTGTGTGCATTCTGCAGCCTCACAGTCTGTGTCCTAGAACATTTGGGGATGATGGAAGTACTCTACAGATCTCAGTCCTCCTGATAAAATGAGGGGTTTGTGGAGGAGATTTGATCAAGATGAGCTGGCTGGGCCTCAACATTACATGCTCCTTCCAGCCATAAGATTCTGAAATTCAATACTAGAGGGCTCTCATGATCCCACACCATCATTCTGAAGCCAGTGCTATTTTACCCATAGGATCAGGCACAGAAGCTAAAACTAGAAGCATATAACCCAGTGGAACTAAGTCTAGAGGTGAAAGGAACAGAAAACAAAAATAGATGTTAGAACAAAAGTATTACCTGTCAGCCATAGCCACTGCATCCTACAAAGGAAGGGAAGAGGAAAAAAAAGTAATTGGACTTTGGAAATAAATTTCCTTTTAAAATTGTATATGTTTTTAAAAAACTTGGAAATTAGGAAAAGGAAAAAAATCTGCCATACCCACATCCTAACAAAGCCACACTTATACCTGTGTGTTTTTCTTTACACTATTGCTTCTCCCCATCAACAGTATGTAAGCACTTTTCATGTCACAAATGGTCTTTTGGACCATTGATTTGAGGGACTGCAAACAATTCATTGAATGGAGACTCCATCATTTACTTAACTGTTCCTCTATTGTTGGACATTGGTTGCTTCCGATCTTTTATCATAAATAGTGGTGAGTAAAATAATTTCATGTGTATCACCCTCCACATTCTGGATTGTGTCTTTGAGACACAGTGGCACTGTAGAACAGTTGATTCAAAAGGTATTAATTGTTTATGGCTCTCATGGGGCCTGCAAATTGTTCTTTGGCTTTATTCATGGACCCATGTCTGGCAGGAAAGAGGTGTGACTTGGCTTTGAGGGGCAACTGTGGGCTTGGACAATGTCGGGGAACACACCCAGTAACTAGGAGGCTGGAGGTCCCTTCCCCACATCCTGAATACCACATCTACCCCATAGTCCTATGGGGCCTTATGAAGAAAGGGGACCCTACCTCTGACTGACATTTAAATTCCCACAGCCCTGCATGGGGCTCATATCAAGTTTAATTCAACTGAAAGAAAATTAAGAAGTGGATTTTTTAAGTTCATGTCTGAGTTTATGAAGTAAAATTTATAATTACTACTCTTATAATGGAAATTTAAGGTAACTTTTTATCCTGGACAACTTTTTCCCCAGAGCTCCAAGAAGAGGCCATCTCAGGTGACCATAAAATGCTCAGTACACTATTTTTGCTCAGCTCCAGGTTAAGGGGATAGATCTCTGGGTAACCAGAACAGAGGAACAAAGACTGGTGCTACCTCAACAATGGTAGAGGGGAAGGGTCAGTTGTATATGAGCCAGCTTGGCCATCATGGCAAAACTATGCAGAAAGATGGAGTGACAGCTTTTCCATCATGAATACCCAATGGAATCAAATGAATGCTGACCATAAAAGTCAACTCCAATATCTCCAGATGGAGAGAGAACAGCCTAACCTACCCTAACTATAACTGTCATTTCAGTTCATGATTTCATTTCTTTCCTGTTTTATTTCATTACTGACCTTTAAGAAATCAACCTTCTCCTCATGACACATCTCCTCTATTGTTTCCATCAGTTCTTTACAGGTGTCAAGGTTCTCTCCACAGCTGACCAGTTGTCCATACAAGGCTTCCAGCTTCTCTTTCTTTTTCTGCCCTAGAGTTTGTATTTTTTCTTCATATTTTTGAGCCAGCGTTTCCAAGATCTCATTGTAATGTAACTCAAAGTTTTGTTCTTGTCTTCCAAAATTCTCCTGTAAGACAGTTGATCTCTACCATCATTGAAGGGCATGTGATGTTGACTAGAGTCATTAGGAGGAGGAAAATACATCCTCTCAGAGCTGTTTTAGTCCCTCTGTTCCTCTGCTTTGTCATCTATTGTCCTGATGCTGGGGTGAATGCTTTGGGGCGGGGGGGTCTCCATCCTAGATTCCCAAGAATAATCTTACAAAAAAGCACTGCTGTCTTTCCTGGTGGCATTTTTTAATTCTCTCCCAATTTCAGCTATCTCCTATCACCTTGACAACCAGCCAGGGAGATTATCAATGATCAATCAGCCTGTTCCCGGAAACTTTGACCTTAAGGTGGAAATGCTTGCCCTGAGAGATCCCCACCTATCATTCCCTCCTGAGCTCTTGATAGCTCATGATGCTCATTTTCACTTCCTCATATTTGAATCTTACAGACATCACAATTCCATCTACTGGGATTATACAACTTGGGGAAAGAGGAAAGCAAAGAGGAATAAGCACTGTGGCTAGGTGGCACTCCCTGAAGGATGAGAAAATATAGGAAGCAGAAGAGTAGGTACCTACAGCATTTAATCCAGGAGCACAATACTTGAAAAATAGTAAGTAGAGCATATTGGCTTCTGGTTCCCATTACTTATCTTGGAAACCCAGAAGAGCTTTGTGGGTTTTGACTGATGCCATTCTTGTCAGATGATGAGGACATTTCTGAAGAAGCTCTTATCAATCATTCAGAGTCATTAATGAACACTTACTATGTGCATAAGACTTGCTAAAAATGGTGAGAAAAAGCAATAGATGACTCCCCAGTGTGAATTATAAAAGATGGCCTCGAGTCCTCTCTGAGGATGAAGATACTCTGCTGTGAAAAGCTGGCAGAACAATATATAATGAGTTTTGTCCTCATACCCCTCCTACTACCTCTCATACACTCTGCTTTGAAGGGGAAGCTTTGCCCCTTGTGTCTTTCACAGGGGATTAAGGCAATAGTTCTCTTCCCTTTTAAGGTTGAGGTTGAAGCCCTCTTAATCCATGTGAGGTGATCCTGTTGATATAATCTGGTGCTGCATTAATAGAAGTAGAACATCCACATGAAGAGGAGAAGGAAAGTCCTATAGTCCTCAATCCTGGTCTACCTTGGCAGGAAGAGTTGGTCAGGCTCTGGTATTGTATTGAAATGCTATGTACCAACTAGGGCGCACCCAGGGAAACATTAATCTTATGAGAATTAGATAGCAAAAAAGGTAAAAAACAACAAACAAACAAACAAAAACACTTATCTAAGATAGGATGGGTGTCTTGCAATGGCCTGTTAAGGCAGGCCTAGAAAAGGGGGGACAGCCTTGTTCTAGCTCTAGGGGCTAATCCAATCCATGAGCAGAGTTACAGAAGAGCAGCTTCTAGCTCAGTAATCTTGGCTCCTGGATCAAGAGCCCACAGACTTCCCTATTTCAGAATGGGCAAGGAGACAGGCCTCAAAGGATAGGATGTCCCTTCCAAATTCAGCATGCTAAATTCATAATTTCTCAAGAAAATCTACAAAATAGCTAACTAGAAAGAGAAAACACATTAACTTATTTTTTGAAACCCATGCAAAGCTAACAGAATGTCTGTGTTTGAGCAGTGATAACTGGCAGAATGAGCATATTACCTCATAAAACAACTAAAAACTCTTCAACAGTCCACACCTGACTTTATGTGGTAAACATGATAGGTACCCAAAGGCCTGTAAGTAACAATCCCCAAGAACAAGGGAACGACATGGAACCCCGCCATGTCTGGTGTCATAGCCAGTGTATCAGGTACCACCCAGTGTGTGAGGAGGAGGAGGAGGAGGAGATGAAGGAAGAGAAAGAGAGTAAGGAAAAAGAGAAGGAGTGGAGGAGGAGGAAAAGGACACTACAACAAGAACAACAAGCAAGCAAAAAAACAAGGGCAAAAGAAAGCTGTTCCTTTCTTTGACACCAGAGTGCAAATGTTTATCTGTCACTAACTGGCTGACACCACCACGAAGTGTCTTTGTTAAAAAAGTACAGGAGTTCTAAACCACATGCAATTGGTGATTAGGGTAAAGAGACACAGGGAGAAAAAGTAGCCTGTGAAGAAGCAGGACTGCAACAGGGAGATTCTTCCCTCTTTTATCCATACAACAAATATATAAAGTGCCTGCTTTGAAACATACCTTGGAGTGGGACTGGGGATGAACAAATTCAGAAAAAAAAAAAAAAAAAGCCTCCCCACCCAGAGCACGCAACTCAGTAGGGAATGCTAACAGGTAATCAGTACCACCAGGCTTATGGCTTGGTGCTAGGAGAGGTCAGAGGAAGGGCAAGGGGCGGGGGCAGTACTGACACCTCACATTTTAAAGAAAAGACTCTCTAACTTCTATTAGAAACAGTTGCTTGCCCAGTCATTGATGGAAGCCATGTGTCTGTCAAGGTCATCAGCCACACTCTTACCTCCACGGTGATGAAAACCTCTTCCAAGTGACTTGCAAAATTTTCCATCTCAATAATCTGCTTTTCCAATTTGTACATGTTTTTGTGAATTTCATCCTGTCCAACAAGCATCACAAAGAAGGTGTTAATGCTGGGCTAGGGTTGTGGCTCAGCGGTAGACCACTCTACTAGCACGTGCGAGGCCTGGGTTCGATCCTCAGCACCACATTAAAAAAAAAAAAAAAAAGGTATTGTGTCCGACTACAACTAAAAAATAAATATATATTTTTAAAAAGATGTTAATGCTACATCTGCTCTCTATCTCTCTTGGAGAAGGCATTTTAGATTTATTCCCTGTCTCAAGACACAAATGTGACATCAAAACAGAGGACTCAGGAGATCTATTTACCTTGGCACTTTCCAGTGCTTTATTGAGAGGGGTCACTTCATGCTCCTTGTGTTCATCAAAAGCCTTCTCAACAGCTCTGATTGGAGTTTTGCAAGTGACACAAAAAACATCCTCAGCTTCTTCCTCGTCTTCCTCCTCTGGGATAACGTAGCATTCGTACTCTTCACTGGCACGGCCATGGGCATACCTGTAGGCTTCCCGCAAGTCCTGGCACTGGCCAGCCAAGCCCCACCCTTCATAACCCAGGTCCTCAGCCTCAGCTGCCTCTCCTCCAAGTCTCCAGTCTCTCTGCTCCCTAGTTGGGTCTCTCCTCTTCATACCATAAGGAAGATATCCAGAAACTCCCATTCTGCTTTCCTCAACAAACTCATCCCCTAACTCCTGTTCATCTTCAAGTCCATATAAATGGACAAGATCATCCACTTCCTCTTGAAGGTCTCTTTGAATCTTCCTTTCCCCTGGCCCTCTTGGGTCCTTGGTCATTTCAGCTTGGACTACTTCTCTTCTCATTCTAGTGTTTTCTTGTGGAATGATCTGCATTCTGTCTTCAGAGTCATACAGATCCATGTTATAAAAGTGGAAGTCCTTAGGGGCAGTAGACCTGTCTAGCCCAGGTTCCTCCCCAGCTTCCTCCTCCATTGTTACTCTGGAAACCCTAGGAAGTACCTTTGAACAATCCTTCCTGGACAGTTAATAGTGAATATCTTAGATCCTACAACACAAAAACAAGGGAAAAATCAGTGCCTGAGAAGGTCATATCTTTGGTTTCTACTACTTCACACAAAATATTTTTTTAAAAAAATTATCTGAGCAGGGCTGGAGTTGTGGCTTAGATGTAGAGCACTTGCCTAGCATGAGTGAGGCACTGGGTTTGAGCCACATAAATAAAATAAAGTTATTATGTCCATCTATAATTGAAAATATATTTTTTTTTAAAAAAGGAAAGCTATGATTTCTCTGGGAGGGTGGACTTTCTAAGCTTTAAGAGAAGAAATTTAAAGAGAAATGTCAATATATTTGACTAACAAAAGACTCCTATGCATTAAAAAAAGCCTAAAACCTACAGCTGGGGTTGTGGCTCAGTGGTAGAGTGCTTGCCTAGCATGTGTGAGGTGTTGGGTTTAATCCTCAGCATCACATAAACACAAAATAAAGGTATTGTGTCTACCTACAACTACAAAATAAATATTTTTTAAAAAGCCTAAAACTTCAAAGAGAAAATAATGGGAAGAGTTTCAGGATATAATTTTATTTTGTTGTTTTTCTTTATTTTACAGTACTAGGGAATGAACCCCATGGTACTTCACCACTGAGCCACATCCTTAGCCCTTTTTGTTTTTTATTTTTAAGTAGGGTCTCACTAAGTTGCTGAGACTGGCCTCAAACTTGTGATCCTCTTGCCTCAGCCTCATGAGTCACTGCAATTAAAGATGTACATCACCACAGCCAGCTATTTATTGTTATTATTTAGGGGGTTAAACTCAGAGGTACTCAGCCACTGAGCCACATCCCCACCCTTTTTTTTGTATTCTATTTAGAGGCAGGGTCTCACTGAGTTGCTTAGTGCCTCGCTGTTGCTGAGGATGGCTTTGAACTTTCAATCCTCCTGCTTCAGCCTCCCCAGCTGCTGGGATTACAGGCGTGCACCTCCGCACCTAGCTTAATTATTCAGTTTTAAAATGTGTGTAACTCATTGAAAAATTAAGATCTAAATAGATGAATGTACAGGATAATTCACAGGATTATTACTTTTTATATATTAGCTATAAAAAATATTTGAAAAGCTGTCCATACTTATGAGTAACAGAGAACAAATAAATAAGAAGTCATTTTGCCTTTCCAGTTTGTAAATATTTTTAAAATATGAAAATGATACCTGAGGGGCTGTGGTTGTGGCTCAGCAGTAGAGTACATGCCTAGCACATTCAAGGCCCTGGGTTTGATCCTCAGCACTACATAAAAATAAATAAATAAAATAAGGGTATTGTGTCTAACTAGGAAATAAAAAATATTAAAAAAAAATAATACCTCAGGGGCTGGAGTTGTGGCTCAGGGGCAGAGCGCTTGCCTAGCATGTTCAAGGTTCTGGGTTCGATCCTGAGCACCACATAAAAATAAAATAAAGATCTTGTGTCCACTGAAAAACTAAAAAATAAATATTAAAAAATTCTCTCTCTCTTTATAAATAAATAAATAAATAAAATGAAGGTATTGTGTCCATCTACAACTAAAAAATAAATGTTGTAAAAAAAAATCATACCTGAAGCTGGGTGAGAGTATGATGAGGTGAACACCATCATGTGCTACTGATTAGAATGTCCCACATCTGGAGAACAAATTTGGCAATGATCGTATTTTTTAGCCTAGCAATCCTCTTTTGGAATTCAAGGGGGAAACCCCACATACATAGAAAACATTTATTTCTATATATAAAAGTCCACAACAAAAAAAAATTAAAATAACATAAAATACCTTTTTTAAGTCTTAATGGTTAAGAGAACAGTTAAGTAAACAAGAATATATATACACTGTACAGAATACAAATCATCCTCAAAACATTTACAGAGAACAAATAATTACTTAGAAAAAATTACTTAGAAAAAGACTTATAGTAGTATTAAATAAAATGAACATAATTTTCACTATATGTAATGCCCACTATTTTAATGGAAGTACACAAAGTCTAGAAAAATAACAACAATAATAATAGTGCTGGGTGCAGTGGCTCAAACCTGTAATCCTAGTAGCTCCAGAGGCTGAGGCAGGAAGATTGTAAGTTCAAAGCCAGCCTCATCAACTTAGTGAGGCCCTGAACAATTTAGTGAGACCTTGCCTCAAAAAATTAAAAGGATTGGGGTTATAGCTTATAGCACCCCTGTACCAAAACCAAACCAAACCAAAACCAAAACACTATAATAGTAATAGTAAATACACTATTACTAGCTGCTACTTATTAAAAAGCATTTTCTATGTGCTCTTTCTGCACTATGCAGTATATATTTTAATATCCTCCCTCAACCCTATGTGGTAGGGCCGGTATTATACCCATTTTATAGAAGAGGAGACTGTGGTTCCAAGAGGGGATCTCAGGCAAGTGCACAGTAAGTTGTTGAACAGGGATTTGAGCCTTAGTCTATGTGGCAGCCAGGAGACAGATATCCAACTACAAGGGAACATAATTAACCAGAGATTTTAGTTTTTCTCTAAAACCTATTGCCACATTGCACAAAGGACACACTCCTCACAAACAGCTGCCATCCAATGACAAAGTGCGTAAGTCAATGTTTTGTTTTTAAGAGAGAGAATTTTTTTTTAATATTTATTTTTCAGTTTTCGGTGGACACAACATCTTTATTTTCTTTTTATGTGGTGCTGAGGATCGAACCCAGCGCCCTGCACATGCCAGGTGAGTGTGTTACCACTTGAGCCACATCCTCAGCCCAATGGTTTTTAATATATTCACATACGTGTTCAGTAATCACTGGCACTTTTAGAACATTTTATCCCCTTAAATAGAAACTCTACCTTTTTAGTAATCACCCCTAGATTTTCCCCAGCCTAAGCAAACACTAATCTACTTTCTGTCTCTACTGATTTTCCTGTTTGGACATTTTACATAAATGGATTTTATAATATATGATCCCAAGTGCTCCAGTAGTGCAATTAACACATGTTACTTAGATATCCTATATTTAGCATATAGTATATATATATATATATATATATATATATATATATATATATATAGTATATCTTAGATATAATGTATATAAGTATATTTTGTGGCTGGCTTTTTTCACTTAGCATAATGTTTTCAAGATTCATCCATGTTGTAGCACACACATATTAACATCTCACACACACACACACACACACACACACACACAGAGAAGTTTTTCAAATATTCTAGATCTTAGCCTATTTATTACTGGATTCTTCATTTAAAAAATATTTTCCCCTATATTTAGTGTGAGGATGGCCTTAGGCCTGAGCCTAAGCAACTCCATTTTAAAAACTCCAGTTTGAAACCTGCAGTCTCACCAGGCATACCCACAGAGCCCTCCAGGATGGCCTCAAACAAGTTACTTCCCCTCACCCTGATAAACAGAGTAAAGCCCCTGGCAGGCTGTCCTCATCTGATAAGAGGGAAAGGCTAGAAGATCAGGGTGGAGACCACCAGACCAGATGTCTCTGACCCCAGGGTAAATGATATCACTGAGAAATCCAGTGGTAGCTGATAAGGATTAAAAGGGGGTCAAAAGCCCCAAAATTTAGTATAAAAGAGCAAATGAACAGGGATTCAGCCAGCCAAAACAAGGATGCACTCGAGCTGGAGAGCCTGATGAGGACCTGACATCCCATTACTTGTCATTGTTCCTGATCCTCTGCGTGATCCTCACTGTTCTCAAACTCTACCGCCTTGTCTGGACTCTGGTGAGAGAGGCAACCTTCTCCTCAACGGGTCCACTCCATGCCAGGAAAAGCCTGCCTTGGTTCCAGATCTGACCACCACAGTCTAAGTGAGTGTGCATCTGCTGGACATAAAGCCTAAGGCTTGAGACTTTTGAACTTAGCATGCAGAGGGAATGTCTGTCATTAACCTGTCATGATTAAGTGTGTTTTGCTGTGCTTAGAATTAATCTAGAATTGTTTGCTGTAAATTGATTATGTCTATTGCAGTGCCTAGCATTAAGGATTGTCGTTTTCTTGATTAAGAACCTATAGAGTGAAATTGTATTGAGTAATTTGAGTGAATAAAGCATTGAAAGGGGCAGAAGTGTGTGGACATTCTTTATTTCTCCCCTCGACTGCATACATCGCAATTTTGCCCCCTCGAGACACTTAGGTTGCCTTTTAATTTTCTTGATGGTATTACTTGAAGCACACAAAAAATTTGGGGGAAGTCTAATTTATCTTTTTTTCATTTTTGTTGTTTGTGTTTGTGATGTCAGATCTAGGAACCTAATGCCAAATCTTGCATTCCTGGGGTAAATCTCACTTGGTCCACGTTAAATTTTTTTGCAGGGTTTATTTTTTTTTTTTTTTTTTTTTAATCTTTCTCAGGTTTTGGTATTGGGGCAACATAGCTCAGAAAATAAGATGGAAAACATTCATTTTCTTCTTGAAAGAGTTTGTGAAGAATTGGTACTAATTTTTTTTAAATGCTTGGTAGAATTTACTACCATAGTGAAGTCATATGGTCCTGAGCTTTCCTTGTGGGTAGATTTTAATTACTAATTCAAAATCTTTTCTTATTATAGAAGTTTTCAGATTAACTATTTCTTCTTAAGTCAGTTTTGGTGGCTTGTGTCTTTCTATGAAATGCCCATTTCATTTAAGCTATCTAATATATTGAAATAAAATTGTTCATAGTATTTCTTTTTAGACTTTTTTTTGTGTGTGTGGTTTCTGTAAGCTTGGTAAAAATGTCCCCTCAATCATTTCTGATTCTAGTCATTTGGGTCTTCTCCCTTTTTTTCTGGGCCAATTTAACTACAATTAAATTGGTCAGTTTGTTAGTCACTTCAAAGAATCATTTTTTTTCTTTTTGGTTCTTTGATTTCTCCTATTGCTTTTGTATTTTTAATTTCACTCTAATATTTATTAATTCCTTCCTTTTGCTTGCTTTTTTTGGTTTG